CAGCAGAGCTTGGGGGGGGGTTGTCTACCTTGGGTGTTTGAGTTGCTCAGTGGCTTCCCCCTGGGGCCGACTTTTCTCCAGCTGAGCCTCCAGGGCGAGGAACGGCAGCTGCCAAGACAGACTGCGCCTCACGGCGGTGGGGGGACAGGGCCGGCTCTTTGCTCCCTTTGCCCTTGGGAGCTGGATGCCCTTAGGCCCTCAAGGAGCATTCTGGGGACTCCCTCCTGTCGGGCTGCCTTCTAGCAAATGAGAGAACGGGGCAAAGGAGTCAAGCACCACGACGAACAGGTCAGGAGGAGCCTCCGGCCCGTGGCTCAGCCCACACCCGCCAGGGCTTCTGAGCAGCCATGGCTCTTGAGCGCAGTCACGGCCGTGGCTCCGCAGGCTGGTCCACAGAAGCTGCGGTGCCGTCAGCCAGGTCACGCGCGCCTGCTCTCGGCGCTCCTCTCTTCAGGGGGCCTGCCACCTGGGGCCTAGCCTGGGCCCGGCTCCCCTGTTTTGCCCTGCGCTCTCAGTGGTTTCTGGAAACACGGGGAGCCAGCAGGCCAGCTCGGCCGCTGCCACATTCATCACTCAGCTCCCCGCTGCGAGCTGGGCCCCTGCTTTCTCCGTAACAAACATCCTTGCGGCAGCAGGCGTCTCCCAGCTTGTGTACCTTTGCGGGAATGTCAGCATCTTGCCACGGAGAATATGGACACGCCTCTCACCTGGCTGGTGCTGTGAGGCGGTGTTTGGGGGCCGTAGTGGAAGACCAAGCATATAGCTTTCACGAAGGACCCGGTACAAGCACAGTGGTCTGGAACTGTCCAGAAGAACAGCAGACTCAGTCAGCAGATGGTCACTAAGGAGAGTCTTTTGAAGATTTTATTTTTGAGAGAGAGAGAGAGCATGCGGGCGAGGGCAAGTGGAGGGATGGGGAGAGGGGGGCAGAAACAGAGGCGGAGGGACAAGCACACTCTGCACTGAGCGTGGAGCCTGAGGCGGGGCCCGATCGCCCGACCCCGAGGTCATGACCTGAGCCGAAGTCAAGAGTCGGATGCTTCACCGCCTGAGCCGCTCTGGCGCCGCTGGGTAGAGTCTTTCGGACCCCAAAGTTTTGAGACTTTTTCCCACGACTGTTCCCCCACCCTCCCTTCTCGACCCCATGAAGAAGGCCTCTGAGCCACACACAGTTCATTGCAACTATCGTTTATTAAAAAATATATGTCTCCTTGGAAGGAACACTGGTAAACCAACTAGTGTCATGCTTACTTTGAATCTTGATTTCCTTCCCTGGGAGGGGCAGAGGGTTGAGCATCACTCAGAGTACATGACTTAACATCAGGGAAATCAACACTCCCCGCTCACCCCCCTCCTCACCAGAGTCACCATCGGCCATCACGTCATCCCTCTTTGCCTTCAATCCAGTGTACTGCCCAGGTAAAGCTGCTGCCCTTTCTTTCCCCTCATTCTATGCCCCACACTGTGCAGTTATAGCCTCATTATGCTGGTAGGAGAGCTGTTAACAGATTTCCTAAACTTGGCTGGTAGCACTCAAAGCGCCTTCGACATGGCATCGTGTGCCACCGGTCCCATCGCCACGGGCTGGGAAACCGCGGACTCAAGCCCAGGGCCAGGCGTGTCCATGCTCTTCTCCCCTGTAACATGCCCGTCGTGGGCCGAGGGAGGCACGGTGGCTTCAAAAAGAGCCCGGTGGGGGCAGGGCGGGGCCCGAGCCACACCTGCCACCTGCACTTGTGGTCAGAGAAGAGACTCCCCCGACCGCAGTCACTGCCTTCTGACTCTGGGAAAAACCAGCACGGTTTCAGGTCTCACCAGCAAGGGAATCTTAGCTCCACGGGTCACGCGGACGGCCTTAGAGTCCACGCTCTTCCTGAAGCAACAGTAAGCTACCAGCTGTTGGTGCGGGCGCTGGGGTAGGGCGTATGGAGCAGCTGCGGAAAAAAACCCAAAGCCAACTTCTCATCACACGGCTGGCCAGGCCCAGGGCGGTGCCACCGTCCCAGCACAGAGCCGGAAGGCAAGTGACTCCCTATCCCCGGTGCTGCGCCCCACGGAGGGGCCTCTGGGGGGGTCGGGCATGGCCCCGGCCCAGGGAGCAAAGGGACCCACTGCGGCGCAGAGCCCCAGCTCCCGCTCTCGGCTCCCGGCAGCCCCCGCGTCCCCTCCGCTGACTGGACGGCCATGCCGGGCGCACCTACTCTATCACAAGGCCCGGCTCCTCCACAACGTCATGAGCCTTTAAAACACTTGTCAAATTGGATTCTACGCATTCACTTAAATAGTAAAAGTAAAATTTGGAATAATGAAAAGGCTGACACGGTAGCACAACATGGTTTTGGTTTAACAGCAGCTTAAAAATGAACAAAAAGGAAACCTCTCATGCAGACACATCGGGTGGCAGAAAACAATAGGCAATTTAATCTGGAGCACTGTTAGCCATCCTCTCGCTTTCTGCACCCGGGACTGACTGTGCCTCCCGGGCGGCAGCTGCTTCGGGGTCCCGTCCCCAACCCTCTCGCCCCCAGAGAAAAAGCCCGCTCGCTGACCCCGACCTAGAGACAACCTCAGCTTTCAAGAGAATGACCAAACGCAAGTGCCCTTGGTACAGCACTTACTACCACTTTCGATCCCTCCCCAACCAGCTGGGATATAAGATGCCATCTGATTGGAATATGAAAATTAAAGCATTTCTCTAATAACACAGTACCATTGATGAAGTCTCCATAGATTTTCTAGTCCAAATGTGTGTGAATATATATATATTATATGAGAGTGTATAATATATATATATAATAATTTCTATATATTTTATATAAATTACATATATATATCTATATATAAATAAGATACTTTCTGTCGCCATACGTTGCACCGTTCAGCGCTGCGTGACGGCAGCGTGAGAAGCAGAAATGCCCGGGGGCATCTCGGCACGCGGCGCACCGAGCTCGCTTCACAAGCCGTGCAGCTGTCCAGAGCCTGGCTTTCCGGCAGTCCTCCTCTCGTCTCTTCGCTTCTGCTTGGTTTTTATGAAAACAATGACTCTGATGGATTTGCACCTGTGCTAGCGCTTGGGAAAGGTCCATGCAGGAATGGGCACAGTCACGTGATGAGTGAGATGGCATCATCCCAAAAAATAAACTAAAACAAGATGAAAATTTAAAAAAACAGAACAGGACTAGAAAACTCAATTTTTGGGACATATCTAAAAAAGGGGACAAGAACAGTAGTCATTTGTTCTCCTGGTGGGGACAGGACTGAAGAGGGAGGAGGGAAGAGGGACTTGATGTCTTCTGTTCACAAGAGAGTGCTTGGTGGGGATTCTTCAGAGTTTTTCAGGGGATGGGACCCAAATGTAGTGCCCAGACTGGTCCTCGATGATTTGTTTGATCTTGTTGTAAATCTCTTCCAGTGAGTCACCCTGTACAATGGCTAAAGTGAAGAGGAAAACAGAATTATTAATGTGCTCCACAGCACCCCAACCCGGCAGTCCAGCCTGCCCCGGCCCCCCCCCAGCCCCCCGCCCCCAGCTCAGCCTGGCAGAGATGCCCACGCACAGCCTAGGGCAACGAGGGAAACCGGCAGGTGCTCTCAGCCCACGGCCCAACGTCAACTTGCCAAGACAGTGAGACTAAGTGGCAATGAACGAGAAAACGGATTGTTCAAAAAATGTTTATTGAGCACCCATTAGATGCCAGACCTCGAGGCTCATGTTGCTCTTGGCAGCCATGAGGCCAGCAGCTGGTCATTGTAAACAGCCTCAGTAGAAGATTTGGAAAATCCCAGTTATCCAGAGAAAGAACCGAAAGAAACAGTTTCTAGCAGGAGGCAGTGCTCCCGGGGCCATCACATCTGCTCTATGTCAGAGGTCAGCCCGGAAAACAAGAACACGGACGTAACAGTAAAGGGAAGGTCCGAAACCCAAGCTCTGAGAGTATGGTTACGTATCCTTTCCCTACTTCACCTGGTGGCACCAGCAGCTGGGGTTTACTCAGCACCAACCTGCACATAAATGTCACTGTGCTTTATTTTTTTCATTTTTTTTCTTTAAATTCTAATTAGTTAACCTATAGGGTAATATTGGTTTCAGGAGTAGAACCGAGTGATTCGTCACTTACATACAACACCCAGTGCTCAACCCAACAAGAGCCCCCATCCAGCCCCCCCCCCCCCGCCACCTCCCTGTGACTGCACTTTAAAGGTAAGCAACATACTACAGAGAAATTTTAACAACCTTTTAGGAACTGACCTTCTAAAATAGGTGGCCATATACACACATGCACACACACTGACAGACAACTTGAACACCCCACTGAGGAATCATCGTCATCAACAAACATGGATTCGGCACCTAGAACACGCACAACCGAGTACTACACTGGGAGGGAGAGAAGCAAAGTAACATAGGGAGCCTCTAATCTGGTAGGACTATGAAGACAAGATGAACAAAATGATCCAAGGCAACGGTTGGCGGTGGTGGTCGATACTACAAACTGGCTAAACTCCACTGGATGGAAGGAGCTTCAGTATCTTGCAAAGGTCTGGCCTCCAAAGCATCCAGAAACTCTGTGCTGGGTACCTAAGCCTTTTGGAGACACTTAGAGGTGTCTGGCTGGTCCCATGTTACCCGAGCCGGGCAGCAGGGCTTCTTACCTGTGAAGTATTCTCCAAACTCCTGCTCCAGTTTCATGGCTTTGTCATAGATCTTATTTGCTTGTTCATATGTCTGCCGTCGGTTCATTTCCCTGCCAAAGACGGAGAGGAAAAATGGTACCAAACTGGATTTATGTGTTTTATTTTTGAGAGAGAGCGCATGAGCTCGGGCTGGGGGGAGGGGTGGGTAGGTGCAGAAGGAGAGAGAATCTTTTGTTTTAAAGATTTATTTATTTATTTTAGAGAGCACACAGGCAGGGGGCAGGGGGCAGACGGAGAATCTCCAGCAGACTCCCCGCTGAGCGCGGAGCCCGAAGCGGAGCTCAATCTCACGACCCTGGGACCACGACCTGAGCCGAAACCAAGAGTTGGACGCTCAACTGACTGAGCCACCCAGGTACCCCTGGATCCTATATTTTGATTAACATAAAGGATTGCTCCCAGGCTCCCTGAAAATCTGCTCAGCTGCCCTATGAGAGCAGCAGTGGCCCACGGCTCAACATCTTCCCCAAACTTGCCAGGTTTAAAAAGGGCAACTAGAATACAAGCGCAGGCACTCAAAGCAGAAGGAACCCTCGGGGACCAGCTGGGGTGCAGACTTGCCTTGGAGCTTCCATGGGGTCTTACCCCTGCCCGACAAATCAGTTTATTTTCTTGTTCCTTTCCAGGGCCCTCTCCTAGCTGGGAGCGTCTGAGGCTCGCAAATACTTACATAAGTGCTTCAATGGACTTGGGCTTGATGAAAATGGCAATGGGGTAAAGTTGTGCTTGCTGCAGCCTCTTGATAGCATTGCCGGAAACATCTAAGATGCAGTGCTTGCCCTGAAAAGGCAAAGAGTTGTTATCAACCCACCTGGTCCCTGTCTACCCAGCCCCAAGCACGTACCCAGCAGCAACCCAAACATCTGCCCAGAGAGGGGGAACCCAGGGTCACCCAGAGAGGCCTAGAAGATTCTATCGCTGAGGCACCCAGGCCCCACATTTTGCTCCTACTAGCCAGAAAAGGCCACATCTGCAGAGGGGTCCCTATGCGTGTCGGTGACACACTGGCGTGAGCTGCGTGCAAGAGACACAGCCACCTCCATCCAGGGGCTGGGAACACGCAGAGCCGGTGTGCCGCTTGATAGGCCCTGTGCCAGGAGGAGGCGGACCCTAATGGAATGTCAGTGTGGGGACATTCCGGGTTTTCCTTTGACAGTTGTATTTAGCAGGGCCATCTCCTCTCTTACCCTCTCTGCAACTGCCCGCACCGACTGGATGCTGGTCCCATAGAGATTATCATTAAATTGGCCTGCTTCGATGAACTTGTTGTCCTGAATATCCTTCTCCATCTGTTCTCGGGAGACCACGAAGTGGTAGTCTTGTCCATCCACCTCATTATCACGCCGAGGCCGAGTGGTATCTGAAGGAAGAAAGGAAATGCTGTGTGGCCCAAGGACAATGACCTGCCCCAGGCCAAAAGAGATGACCGGTTCCTCTCTCACCTGGGCCCCGGGGCCACGCCAGTATTTTCCAGGTGAGTGGCGGGGGACAGTAGCTGAAAGAAGTGTGTCTTGCCTACTTCTCTTTTTTTTTTTTTTTAAAGATTTTATTCATTCATTCATGAGAGACAGAGGGGGGGAGAGAGAGAGAGAGAGGCAGAGGGAGAGGCAGACTCCCAAGGAGCAGGGAGCCCGATGCGGGACTCGATCCCAGGACCCCGGGACCACGACCTGAGCCGAAGGCAGACGCCCAACCATCTGAGCCACCCAGGCGCCCTTGCCTACTTCTCTTGTAACCACCAGGGCTCACACACAGGGAGCTATTTGCTTTAGTTTAAACCGGACCAGAAAGGTAGGGTTTCCTGGGCCAAAATCTGGCAGAAGATGCCAAATGTGGCACGGGAGCCAGCGAACCTAACAAGCTGTCCACGGGGCCGTGCCGACACCACTTGGACCAGACCCCCCATTAGTCCAAACCTTCCCGACCATCACCACTCAAAACTTCTCTCCAAGGGAGGAAGCAGGCCAGCCTGATGGCTTAGGCCTCTCAACCCCATCAGCCCTGTGGGAATCCACTGCTGCCTAATCTCTTCCAGAGCATTAGACCCTGTTCCCAGAGAACCCTAGTACTTGGCCCCACACCCTTTCCACAGAACATCAGAGTAATTGTTCACAGGGCACTAACGCCTCCCTCCCAAAACCTTCCTGGGCTCTTACGTGGCACACAGGATCCAAATTTATGCGGGAACTCCGAGATCAGGTCATCGTTGACTCTGTCCTTCATTGGGCCCAGGATGATCACAGGCCTTGCATAGTGAACTGGAGAAAGAGAGCATGGAGGTCGTGAGCGAGGCCTCCCACCAGACGGCCTCTTCTACCTCCAAGTCTGCCTAGAACACCGTGGCTCTGGAGCCGCCACTCAGACAGGGCAGAGTGTCTGCGGCCATTCCCTGGCTTTTAACTACAAAGACATCAAAGAGGCTTTAATTTGAAAATATCTAAGTCCAAGGCAAGTCTGAAATCAGAAGCATCTCCCCTTCCAACAGATTCAGGGGAAATCTCTGCATGGGCACCAGCAGCTAAGCAAGGTTTTTTTCTGAGGAGCCACTACAGGGAGGGACCGGGACCTTTCTTTTGGAAACGGTCACACCCACTGAGACTGACCCTTGCCCTCTTTGTCAGCCTGTCCTATCCTCTGAAAGGCACCCGGCAGCAACAAAGGTATGGTGAGGGGTGCACACTGGGTTTCCTTCCCCATTTTCTACAACAAGAGGAAGACGCAGGAGAGAAGGAGACGCCCAGGGGTGGACATGCGAAGGGCCCCGCCTTCGTACGCCCACACGCGCTTCCCTCCGCCCACACGGCCAACCACCGCGTTGGGCCCCACGACCACGAGAGCAGCTCGAAGGCAAGACTCTCAGAAGGAGGCTTACTTTCTTGCCGTGTCACTGGCTCATATGACAAAATTGCATCCTCTTGTCCTTCTGCAACAAAAAAGGGAGACATGTTAGCACTTTGTAATCTGCCTCCCTGTGTCCTGGTCCCCCTACAACACTCCCCTCACCCCCACCTCTGCCAGAAAATAGCCTTGTCAATGTGGTACTTGCTACCACCTGCCCTGTGGGCCTGTCTGCTACCCATTGGCAAGAAAGCACAGGAAGCCCTTCACCACCCCTGGGGCAGGAGTCCTCTCATTCAGCAAAGTATTGCTGACCAAAGGGACATGACCCAGAAGCCAGGAAGCCTCCACCAAAAACGACCCTCCTTTCTCAGGAACTGTTCTTAGAGGTAACAGTCAACTGTGCTCAATTACCCTTCTTGCTCTGGTAAGAATCACAGGGAAGCTTCAACTGGTCCAGAAATATTGCCCACGTCTGCAAGCAGGGGAGTCAGGGCGCTCACGCAAGCTAACTTTGCGCTCTTAAGGGTCTACCTATCCCCCCTGCACTGGAAGAAATCTCCAGATAAGTGGCTCAAGGCTGGGCTAAGGTCCCCAGGCCCCTTTAAGAGCAATGCTGAGCCCTGCTCTCTCCTCATGGTAGAGCTCCACCCATCCTAACAGTGATCAACTTGGGGCGCCCAGGTGGCTCAGTCGGTGAAGCGGCTGCCTTCAGCTCAGGTCATGATCCCAGGGTCCTGGGATCGAGACCCGCGTCGGGCTCCCTGCTCATTGGACAGCCTGCTTCTCCCTCTCCCTCCGCTTGCCACTCTGCCTACTTGTGCTATCTCTCTGTCAAATAAATAAATAAAATCTTGGGAAAACAAATAAACAGTGATGAACTTTTCCTAAAATAGTCACCAAGCCACTTGGTTCTGGGTGCCTGGAGGTCCCCAAGGGGCTGACAGCAGTGCTGGGGAAGGCAGCAATATTTGCGTCAAGCCCCAGGATGCTTGCTCACAGGCTTCCTCTGAGCCTAAGACTCGTGGGCAGATTGTACAAGACATCTAGCCACAGCTCCCGAGAGGCCAGGGCTCCCAAAGTTCGTGGGGTTCCAACTGTGTCTTCTCTGGCTTGGTCACAGGATCTCTGAAGGAAACCTGGGCAGTTACCGGATCACTTAACCCAGCAAAAAGACAAAGACACCGAGCCTTAACCCGGGGGGTCCTAGAGACCCGGACAGGCAATTCAGGACAACAGCCCACAGGAGCCATTTGTCTTTTGGTCTCTAAGCAAATCTGTCAAACTGGCAGCATTTACAGCCCAGGATGCCCATGGCAGGGATTTACTCACTGGCAGCTCACCCTTCCCGAGGCCCCAGGGACGGCTTTAAGTCAGGTCCTGGCCAGAAGTGCAGGCCTTATACTCTCCTTTTAATTCATGGCCTAAACCCCACCCCGTCAGGACAAAATGGCCACAGCATTTCCAGGATCTCCAAGTGCACATGGCTAAACGAAGCACTAGCCTCTGAACAGAAATGGCAGCCATGCAACGCGGGAATGAGGATGGCTGGGACACATGGTGGAGCCACATGACATGGGGGAGAATGACACACACTTACTGGAACTGCTTTCGCTGTCACTGGTGTTGGATGTCACTCCCTCTGCAAGCCAACAAGAAAGAGACTCCGATTCAGAACACACCACTGAGAGGTCACACGCGGCACAAAACTCAATTCCTCCAGGAGGCAAGACACCGAGCTGCCAACCAAGTCAGGCCACAGGAGGCCTGCCACGTCCAGGCTACCAGCTGGGAGGCAGAGCTCCAACCCTGAGCCCCTGGCCACCTCATACTTGTCCCCAGAGCATTCTCGGTATGCCAAGGCCCTCCCTGTACACTACAAGCCTTCCATTCTTCGGCAGCATCCTCTTCATCTGAATCAAAACAACGGACTTGGATGGTTTCCAAATCCTATCTCAAAATGCATCTCCCAAGGCTAACAACAGGAAAGGAAGGGCAGTGACAGTAGCAAAGACGAGTCCAGGGACCGGGCTGCTCTTGAATTCCCTCCCCCAGACAGAACCCCCGATGTACAGAGTTGTGTGGTGCTCCAGAACTAAGAGGCTAAGCACTGGGTATGCTGAGCTGTCACCAGCGAATGAGGCTCTGACCGTTCGGTGGGACCTGCCTCCGCTATCATCTAGCCTCCTCCTCCTCCTAGCTTGGCCTCAGTGGTGAGGGAGGATGTTCCTCCATCCACAATCGGACAGACGTGTCAAAACACAGAGACCACAAACACAGAACACTGGGAGGCCAAGACAACCGTCCTGTCTCAGATCACTGGGACTTGCCTACATCTGAGTGTGGGCATGGCCGCCATGCTCAAAGGAAGCACAAGGTGCAGTACGGCCCAAACAAAGGCCACCGCTCCCAAGACGACAAGCAAATGAAGATGAAACATGAACACAACAAACGATGGACAGAGACACTGCTCGTTTCAGCCAAGATGACACTGTTCCAGACTGTGATATGCTGTGGCCCCCGTAGGAAGGACTGGATGAGTCGCCAACCAAGGCTAGTTCCTGAGCAATCCCCTGAGGAAGCTCCTTTACTTTCATGCCTTTATTACTTATTGAAGGAGAGTATATGCTGACAGAACCTCCCGGCACAGCCACGTGTACGTGCACAGAGGGGACACTAAGGTGCTGTCCTCTCGGTCCCTTCATTTTTCACTCTAGAATTATCTTCCAGAGAGAACAGGTCAGAATTTTCCCGACCTAAGGCACTAGATATAAATGTATATATGGTCCATAAATGCCGCTGAGACCCTCCCCCACCAGCTCAGCCCCTTAAAGATGCTCCGTGGAAAGCCAGCCCACAGCTTTTCCCGAGGCCCCTGGACCTGCTGGGATGTCCCAGATGCACGATGGGTAAAGGGCTTCACAGTACTCTTGCCCCTAGTTAGACCAAAACTGCTCATTCTTAAGCCCAATTCTTTAGTGCTGTGTCGCTAGGAGAAGAAGCCAACCAGTGGGCACCCCTCCCCTCAACAATAGGCTAGAGATGAGCTGAGTGGTCACCCTTGGAGAAGTACGTCTTGCCTACCTCATTTCTAAGGCGGGGCCCCAGGATGGCTCCCCATCCCTTCAAGGTACAAAAGGAAAATACAGATGTGAATGATAGGCTTTTATTAGGGTACCAGGGATCCAGAGCAAAAGTGTGACATTCAGAGCCACTTGTTCCTCCTCCTGCTGTGGTGTCAGAGTCCTCACAACACTGTCCTCCCCTCACCCTTTGCCCTCACCCACGTTCCCTACACCCCCAACCCCAGCATCTCCACTCATGCCAGAAATACAGTTAGTGGTGTGTAAGTTTGACTTACTCAGGTTCTTTGCTCCATAATAATCGTCACTTAACCCAGGGAAGTCCTGATTTCACAGACAGCAAGGACAAAGAGAGAGGGAAAGAGGGAGGGAGGGAGGGAGGGAGGGAGGGAAAGAATTGGGACAAAAGAGAAAATAGAGAAAAAAGACAAGGGGAAGGAAGAATACAGAGCCAGGTAAGCATTAGTGACAGAAGTATGAAATACTATGAAGACCTATAATTATAGTGAGGTTAAGAACTTTGCTACAGAAAGAACGCCCCAGATCCAATAAGATACAGATACTTCATCCTGCCCAACTTGCTGCCAAAGGGCCTTGGAGTAGACTACCTTTCTGAGGTGGTCTACAGTCTATAGCCCAACAGGACAGAATAGGTAGACTTTCCAAGGCTTAGAGTACCTGCTTTGGCTGATTTTGTACTTACAGAGCCCAGGTCTCTGCTCTGCCCCTGTAATCACCATTTCCCTGTGAGGTGCACCAAAGAGCAGGCAGAATTATCATCATCCCAAGGAGCTTTTGCCTAATACTGACTCACTCTGTCCAGACCCTTCAGGGAAAGCTTCGTGCAGTGTCCGGTATGGCCTTCAAAGCTGACCGGGGTTGTGCAGACCACAGAGGATGAGCTCAGCTTCTGGAGAATTAGCACTAGGCGGTTTCAACTCTCACCCAACAGGCAGCCCCTGCCCCTCAGCTGGGCCACCCAATGGTGAACCCTCCCCAGGCTAGATCGAGCACGGACGTTCTGAGGCTGATTCAGTGAACTGTGGTGACCTCCCTTCAGACCATCTCCCACTGCTCACGAGCAGAACCAGCTGCAGCTGGTGCTTCTTACTGAGCTACCCAGGATTATGACCCATAACCTCCATTTGGATGAAGGCACCCTTGGACTGACTAGCTACCACTTCAGACAGCAATGACCTACGTAGACCATGACCATGAATCAGGCTGGCCTAGACAAAGTCAGTCTCCTGCCAGTCCCAACAGCCCAGGACCCCAAGGCCCCTCCTTATGAGGCAGCAGAGGAGAGGCTTACAGTTCACCATGAGCCACATGAGAAGTGTTTCACCAGCTTGACCTGGTGTTTAAGGTGGACCTTAAACAGAGCAGTTAATTTCCAAGACATATGGTAGAATACGAATATTTCTCAAGATTACACTGGTTCTTAAAAGTCAGCTTATGGCCTTTCCTACCATTTACTGTTTTTCAATAAATCTTTATTTAGACAATGTTAGTAATCCCCCTTCCACGCAATTCCTTTAAGCAGGAAGGATTTTATTTTGAAGGCTGGCTCTGTATCTGGGATGACAGTCAGTCTGTTGGAGCCGTGTGGACATCCTGGGTGCATATGCACATGCATGTAATTCAAGAAGCAGGTCCAACTCCAGGTGTCCAGGGAAGAAAAGGCTCTTCTCTTAACACAGATGAGTACAGTTAAGGGAAAGAAAACACAGGAGGAAGAAGCCAGGAGAGCAACACTGAGTCCCTTGACCTGGTTCTCTTGAAAAACCATTCTTCTAAACCTGACACTGTGGCTGAGAACTGATCACTACCACAGCAGAGCTTGGCCTGGCACCCCAACACCAGTGCCAGGGATGTCCTGGTAGACCAGCCTTGGAAGCAGTTGGTCCTCAGAGCCTCCAACATTCTTTCAGAGTGAGCAGCTGGATGAGAGAGACCCAATGTCTCCCCATGCAGATCAATCTCTACACTGACTGCAAATAAGCAAGGGTGCACGCGCACACACGCACTCATGCACGCACACATGGACAGATGGATGGACGCGCGTGCATGCACACGCGCGCACACACACACACACACACACACACACACACACACTTTCCCCATCTTCTCATAAGGGGAGGTGCAAATGAGGAAGAGAGGGCGGGGCTGTGGGCAGTCTGTCTCTGTACCCTGCTGCTACTTACGTTCCTGTATGCTGCTCTCCTGGGCCATGTTTTCTTTGCTCTTGTAAAATGGAAACTTTCGAGAGAGGCGGAAACTCTTTTTACGTTTCGTTTTGATCGACTGTGAAAGAACATGAAGATGGAGGGGAAGGACAGAAGAAAAAAAAACAGAACAATGGATTTTAAAGCATGCAAGAAAAACTAAAATGGAGACAATGGTGAGCTAAATAAAAGACCATCTCTCACAAATGGAGTCTATGAGATTAAATGAAAGTTGATGTAAGAGGAAAATTATGTTTACAGGAAAATGTTGTAGGGATGTTAGAGGTTTCTACCTAATCCAGACTCACAGCACTCACTGGCACTTTCTAAAGGACAAAGGTCACTGTAGCCTCCTGGACACATGCCCTAAGGTGCCACTGATACAGAGTCATCTACTCCGTGTCTCTCTTCCCTCTACCGCTCCAGAAGTTCTTTGGCCTGCGAAGCTCACAGAAGAAAAGGGGTGAATGACTGAGCCCTCATGCCTCATTGGTCTGAGGGGAGGTGGTCAGAGATCTGAGGATGGCCTTCCTCATTGGGTAACAAGGCCAGGTTCTGTTCAGGGTCCCCCACAGCTCTGACAGGGTCTGCGGCCAGGGAGATAACCACAGATGGCTTCATGTACCCAGAACAAGTCAGCCTTTCGAGACAGTCCAATTCCAACACATCTTCAAGAGCCAGTAACCCAGGGGGAAGGAGTACAGGCTGGACATGGAGTTTCAGTGCCCTCTCTCTGCTTTCTGAAAAGCAGTCAGTGTTCTGATAGGACAGAGCCAGCCCCCTGAAAAAGAGATATTTTGTTGTGCTCCCCAGTTCTCTTATCCAGCAGACAGACTCCAAGCTTCTTACTCCTTTTCACATATTGGCTGATTTCCTTGGGGATCCCCACTTACCCTGTTAGACTCAATCATCCCCGTCCTGGCATGGAACTTCACAGTTTTCAATCGAGCTCTTTCTTTCTTTTCCACCCTGTTTTGGAGTCAGAGAGGAGTCCTGTTACTCACTGCCAGTGCATGGTCTCAGCAGCCACCTTTTGGCTCGCTGAGTCATAACTGTGTCTTGAGCACCAACTCTACCGAAAAGGAACGATAGAGCACATCCATTGCTCTCAAGCAACTTAAGAGTATAATAGGTACAAAAGAAAGCAATACCAGGAAGAGGGCAGGGAAGGCCTCGAGATCATGACCACCACTCACCTCTTCTTACTGGGGATCACACCAATTTGCTCGCTTTCTCCATGGGGGGTCACCAGTCTCGCCTGCCACCACTCATCATCAGACGCATTAATGACGTGCAGAATGTCGCCATAGGAGAAGCTGAGCCCCTGGCTTGGCAGGCAGCTGTCCCGAGTTCGATCATAATCAAATAGGGCCCTGAAACACGCAGCGAAAGATGAAGTCATCATCCTGACCCAAAATGCCAGGAGCCTGGCACTCTTGAAAGGATGGCAGAGGAAGGCCAACCCAAAGAGTCAGCACAGACCCAACAGCCTCAGAGCAGACCAGACGGAATTCTCCAGGAGACTGCATCCTTCCTTCAGTCTCAATGTTATAGATATATGCCTCTTCTCAAAGAACATCCCAGTCTCCCAAAAAAGGGAAATAAGAGAAAATCCTTCCTGAGTCCCAATGCCTCGAAGCCTCTATCTAGACACAAGGTGGAAGTCCAAAGTAGAACACACAACAGTCCTCTCCCCTCCCGCACATCCCAGGGAAACAAGTTAGCTCTACCAAAGGGCTTCCTCAGTTTACAAACATATCTTCAAAAAGTAGTTGAAGGCAGGACATAAAAATGTTAACTAGTCTCCAACAATGAATGGTAAATGCTGCAGAGACACAAAAGAGAAAAGGACCCCATGTCCTGGGACAACTAAGGAAAAAGCTAAATCTGACATTCACCCACATAATAATAAAGTTGAAAGGACCCTGCAAAGAAGTCTCCTAGTTTAATCTCTCATCTTACACAGAGGGAGAGGGAGGCTCAGGGAGGAAGAATAATGTGACCCAGATCACACACCTACCTAACCTAGGATGGTGGCCAGGTCCTCTGACAAGACATGCGGAGTAGAGTGATAAAGGAGAAGGCGGGAAAAGGCGGGAAGGGAGCTATACCATCCAGGCTTGAGAAAAAGGAAGAGCCTAGCTTGGATGTAGCTGGAAGTCCTAGAAATTGAGGTTGGAAATAAAGGTCTGGGGCAAAATTTGGAAGGCCCTGAATATACCTGATCCAGTGGCCCCTGAAGATTTGAGAGTAGGGAAGTGACACATCAAAAGAGCCTTAGGAACATTAATCCACCCTCATATATAACGGGATAATCATGTGGAGTGGGGTGGGGTGGATTTGAAGGCAAATTTAAACCGAAACTACAAGCTCAAATCCTTCAGGACCCACCGCTGGCTCTGACTCTGGTGAAGCTGGCACTTCACACCAAAGCTCCCTGCTTCTGGGAATAAACTCACCCGCATGAAAGTGTCTACTTTTCTCACCCGCTGGATCTCTGCTCATAGAGTCACTGCGAATGGGTGATTTCAGTGAGAAGTTTGTATTTTTCTACTCACCATCTAGGCTCTCTTTTTTATATTCTCTGTTAACACCTTTGTACACACACAGCCCAGTGCCATTTCCCAGAACTAGTTCCAAGATTTAGACTTCTACCTGCAGTTCGGTGGTCTGTGGCTCGGCTGGAAGCTGCAAAGTAAAACCCACTATTTCCCCATGTGCAGGCCCAAATGAAATACAGAAGACAGTAAAACTGTGCAGAGTGAAATACCCATCTACTTTTTAAACTTCTTGAAACAGAAGTCTTAAGAAATCGGTATCAGATTATTTGAAAATGAAAATACCCAAACTCTGACAGAAAGCCTTTATCTCCCTCAACTTATGCACTTGAAGCAGTAAGGAGAGAGGCCGGGCCAGCAGATCAAGGAGGCACTCTGCCCAAGAGGTTCTTTCCTGGCTTTGTGCGACAGGATCAAAGCTGAATGCACTTGCCCTGCATTCGAAACTGAGTTTCCTAAAGCAAGGAAGGCATTCTGTCAGATGTTCCTACAAAGACGTGCATGGTGAAGACCTTATTCTAAGTGACAATGAGAAACACTAAATGTCATTCTGGGCTTCAAAGATGAAAACAAATGTAGTAGGGAAAAGAACAGAACTTGGATTAAGTACAAATTAGTTTGGGGAGGGAAGAAGGAAGATGTTAAAATGAATTAGGAGAGATTAGGATGAGGTTGTAAACACTGGAAGGGAGAGCTTACTGGTGACAATCCAGGGACAATCCAATATATAATCTAGCACACCAGAGAACCGTATCTGACCCTTGCTGACAGCAGCAAGAAGCTGCAGCACATATGATCAAGTTGATATAAACATGTTTTCTGGATGTCAGGAAGCCAATTACTGGTCATTTTTAAAAATCTGAGATTGAAATGAAACTAACATGCCAGGTCACTGCCAAGAGGAATTTCAGATACCTTACCATACTAAGACACATGTGCCATGAGCTAAGTAACAACAAAATAAGTGTGGATCCCAGTCACCGAGAATGCCAGCAGTGAGCACTGCACACCGGCAGCGGTGCCGTGTGCTTTGCTTTTACCCACAGGCACAGGGGCCTTTTACAACTTTACTTTGAAAAAACATACGTCAACATAAAAAGAAACTGCTTTCAAATATTTGTGCTGTTTCTTTTTCTTTTCTAACACATTTCACAATCACTGCTTCTTCTTGCTATTTGTTGATTTTTTTTCCTTTTAGACATTAGATACTGGTTTTTCTTTTTTTAAAAAATTTTACTTATTTATTTGAGAGTGAGCGAGAGATCTCGATCACAGAGGGAGAAGGAGGAGACTCACCACTGAGCAGGGAGCCTGATGAGGAACTCGATCCCAGGACCCTGGGATCATGACCTGAGCCGAAGGCAGACGCTGAACGACTGAGCCCCTCAGGTGCCCTGAGATAAATGGTTTTCGATAGCACTCACCTATCCTTTTGCCCCTGTCCTCCCAATTTAGTTATATCACATTTTGGGGGGATAAACCGTATTTAATTTTACATTATGTAAACAGTGTCCATAGATGACTACCCTTCCTTTCCTATAAGGTTTTCCTACGGTTTCTTTCCTGCCAGAAATACTTAATTTTTTATCTGATAATTTTTCTATATCCCTATTATTTTGTAGCTTATCTAACACAGAGGTCTATTTAGATTTTACTGTTTCTTTTTGTTACAGCCAAAATATTTGAAAGCAGTTTCCTTGGTAGAGCCAGAAAAGAGAATAGGAAAAAGTTTAATTTTTTTGCATGTTATTTTAGTATTTGAGATTTTACATTATTCATATGCATGAATTTCATTAAAAATTTAATATAAGCTCATTATAGATAATTTGAAAAACATAAAGTCTAAAAACAGAAGAATCACATTTAATATAACTCAGAACTGTTCTTCATATTGTGATACTATATAATATTGTGTAATAAGTACACAGAAAACAGATTTCACTGAGATGGAAACATGCTGTGTATGTACAATTCGGCAACCTTAGTTGTCACTTGAAATTGTATCATTAATATTTCCCATATCATTGATTATTCATCAAAACTAATATTTTTAAAGATGATACAATTTTCTGTTCTTAAGGATATTCATTAATTAAACAAGTATTTTTGAGCATCTAATATGCTCAGGCACTCTTCTGGGTGTTTAAGGGAAAAAAAAAAAAAGGAAAGAAAGCACCTGGCTTGAGTCATTTACTTCTGGTAAGGAACATGTTTGGCTCTAAGTTGTCCAGCAAAGAAGGCAAAAAAAGCACTATATCCCACTAAAAAGTGGTCCCTAAGTTTATCTGGATTTTGTTTGATGAATTTGTGGATGAGGAACACTGAATGACAGAATAAAGAATGTTTTTAAACTATGATTTTGTTAAAGACATAGCACATTTGAATTTGAAATAAAAGAAAATGAATTTGAAATTCTGAACCATAACGTCATTCTCGGTTGAGAATGTAAAATGAATGAATAAGAATTTCCTTTCCTATCAGTCAGAACTACAAATGGAAAAAGAGCTTTGCAGGACATCGGAGCCTCAGAAGTCCCTAAGTTTCTTTCCAGCTCTAGCATTTCATGAGCTCAAGTCTTTCCTCGTTCTTCTCTACCAGGTTAAACATGCCCAATTCCCTCCCGAGTCCTTCCACTGTCGCGATGGTGATTTCTTTTCCAAATCCATGGTGTAGATTTTCTCTAAAGCCACTTTCTCTTTTCCTGCCGAAATTTTATTGGACTGTGAGCTAGAAAGCTTCCTCAGAGATGACAGAAAGCAGGCTCAGAGGCACACACGGCCTCATCTAGAGTTGTGTGGTGGGTGACTCTTAAATCTCAAAAATTTAAGAGTCACTGGGGCTCTTAAATCTCAAAAAAATTTCATGAGGTCTAAGTCATGAAACAACAAGAAACAACAACAACCCCCCCCACCAAAAAAAAGCTAACTCCCCACTTGGCTATGTCTAAAAAATACCTTTCTTCCATTATTTAAACGTTCACTTTGTCTACTGTGTGTGGGGCACTGTGTTTGACAGGTGGGAGACGCAGAAGCAAGATTAAGTCCTGGCCTTAAAGGGTGTGTTGACTGAGTGTGTGGTAGTGAGAGGCACGAAGGCGAGATAAGACAAGGCCTAAAAGCATTCAGAGGGAGCATAGGTCACACCTAACTTGGGGAAGCTATGAGGAGGGGTTGACTTTTGAACTGGGTCTCAGTGAAGGTTCGGGATTTCAAGAGAGATGGAGAGACGCCCTTCTGGCTAGAAAGAACAGTGTGAGCAAAGTCTTCAAGGCAAGTAAGCCACAGTGTGTGGCAGGGTCAGCAGCACCCAGATTTGGCTGCAGTGCAAGGTGCTCAGTCCGCGGTCCAGCTAAGGAGTCGGGCATTCACTTGGTAGGCCTTGTAAGACCGACTTCATGGCCTCAGCTTTTTTATCATTATCAGGTGAAACTTTCATGTGGAAGGTACAATTACGAGAGAACAAGGGGCGCTTGGCTGGCTCGGCCAGTAGAGCACAGGACTCTTCATCTCAGGGTCGTGAGTTAAAGCCCCACATTGGGCATAGAGCTTACAAGAAAGAAGGGAAGAAGGAAAGAAGGAAGAAATTAAAACAACAGGCTGTGTAGTAAACTGAAAGCACCTTTCAAATGATGTATATTTCCTGTAATTGAAAAAAAGTATGTAAATCAGACCTTAATGAATTTTGGGGGCACCTGGGTGGTGCAGTTGGTTAAGCGTCTGACTCTTGGTTTCAGCTCAGGTCATGACCTCAGGGTCATGAGACCAAGCCCTGAGTCGGGCTCCATGCTCAGTGCAGAGTCTGCTTCAGTTTCTCTC